TACCTTACAGGACAGATATGTCAGTTATAAAGTAGGCATAGTAAAAAGGCATAGTACTAACACACAATATGTATCTGGCCACATACAAGAGAGAAAGAGTCACATGTTTCATTGATATGTTGGTTTCCACATATGTGCAAAAGTGATCAGGTCACTGATGAAAATGACCTGGTTGGGAAAGATTCTCTGATTAAATGTGCAGAGGCAAAGATACCATGTACACACAGCCTTATTTACAGACTAAAAATATATATAAATTGCACAAAATTATTTTTTATTTAGGAAAAAGGAGAAATCAAATCTTACTCATTCAGTAGATTAGTGGGGCGGTTTACACATTTGCCTAACATGCTAGAGATCTTCTGTTTGACCCCAGGAGGAGACAGAAGTCCTATGCACCTGAGGATTCATTTGTTGTCTAGTTCCTCCTAAATCATTTGAAGTCATCCCCTCTGGTTTCCTTTGTCATATAATTTTCCCACTCATCTCAGAATGAAAGAGGAAAAAAATGTATGTCTCTCTCATTTCAGAGGAATATTTGAAAAGTAAACCCCTTACATGATTTCTTGAGAATCACCTGTGTGGGCTGGAATTAAAGAGGTAACTTCAAACCACAAGGGTGCCTCCAGGGCTGAAAAATGAACCCAGTGTGAAAGAAGTGAGTTTCTGTGGTATTTTCCCCTGTGCCTCCTTTAGGTACTTTGACTTCCTCCCACAGTCCAAAGGCATGCATGCATGTTAGCTTAATTAGTGGTTGTTGATGAACTGGCCATGACTGAATCACATAAAATTCTACATAATTAATAAATAATCCAGACTTCACAGCATTAAAAAACGTTGTTCAAGTGCAAAAATCAACTTTACAGTTCTTCCACCTCTACACTTTCATGGTTGAAATGGCCTAAAGCTGAAACAAAGCTTTAAAAATCTGAAGCAATAACCTGCTCAGGACGTCCTATCAGGGTTGATTGTTTGAAAAGTCTCCACTCAAACACGTGTTGTGAAACAAAATAGTTTCTCACGGTGAGTCGGCTGCAATGTCTTTAATATGTCCTTTATGATTGTGTGGGTGGGTGTACACAGGTGTGTTAAGAGGTGATTTTGTACTTGATATCAGTGCACACACCTTAAAAACACCATGAACAATGAAACAACCTTGTAGCCATAGAGACCAGTCATCCTGCACAGATTTGCCTCAAAGTATCCGAGGGAAGTGTCCACCTGTCAGTCTCGCAAGATCTAAAGCGGGAAAAATCCCAGAAACATAAGATCAACTAAATCCAGGTTGGTGCTCCAAGCCCTTTCGCTACCCTGAGCTCTACAGCATCAGCTCATTTGGTCAAAGGTTTACTCTGAACCAGCAGAGGTCGCTATCACTTTTCCTGTGACGTGTCATGGCCTGACACGGTGAATGATGGTGATCCAAAGCACTTACTATCAAAAAAGAGAACAACAAAAGGAATAACATGAAATGTGGTGAGGATGAGCTGGAATGCACTTCAGAATGCATGATGCAGAGGTATATAATGAGACCCATTACATTTCTCAGTTTCTACAACCTCGAGTTCTTTCTTTACCTACTTACCTTATGCGGAGACACAAGGAGAGAGGAACTGAAGCAACAAGTATAATTAAGTTAAGTAGCCATGCTTTTGTAGCGATCACCTTTAAGAAATGTCAATTAAACATTTAAACGTTTTATCTTTAACTGTATTCAGAAGGTGACGCATCATTCTTATGTATTCTTATGTATCATGTGTTCCTGTTGTGTTGTAATTTCTTAGTAAAAGACTAAGTCTTAGTAAGTAGACTTCTGTGAAGGATAAGTCTGTGCATCTTCACTCCTAGTTCCTCTTTCTTGCTTCCTAGAAATGAGATATCCTTGATGACAGTGCACTGAGATTGATTTTTGGGTCACATGGGGAAGACAGAAAGGAGAGAAGGTAATAAACCACGCAAGCAGAGAAGCAAAACAAAATAAGTAATAATAAGTGATTGCCCGTATTTCATCAGACCCACACGAAAAATCTGCTGTGATGCACATTTCAACACCTCCTTAATGACTGTCCAACCAAGAGGGATGACATCAGTAACAATTTTCTCAAGGAATTTCAAAGGAACTGCAGGAGGAAGTGAACCAGGTCACCATCAGTCCATGTCGGTTCAGGGCCAGGGTTTTTGGTTGGGTTCAAGTTGACACAATTTTAACCAAATAGAAAACCTTTTAAGAGAAAAGCTGTAGAGACAAAACTGATATGAGGCTTTGTTCCCAATGTAACATCTCGTAGTAGCTTGTAGTAGAGAGGAGCTGGACCTGAACCTTTGTAGTAACATTTTGCATCCAACATTTAATTTTTTCCAACTTCTTTCTTTCATTCCTCAGACACAAGTACAGCAGACATAAATGTGCAAAAAAGAGAAAAAAAGTCATACAAATAAAATTACAATAAAAAACTTTTCATCCCCACTTTTCTTCCAGGTGTATGAATCTCTTATATATTTTTACAATGCACTGTTTGCCTTCATATAGACCCATATAATAAAGAAATAACCATTTCACTCAGTAGCTCCTGGAACAGTCTGACATTTTCTGTAAGCGAGGACAGGAGAGGACGGCAACATTTCTTTGGTGCGTTGACCTCATTCAGAACACTTTCATTTTTCTGCCCAACACACACACACACACACACACACACACACACACACACACACACACACACACACACACACACACACACACACACACACACACATTTTGTTTGTATGATAGAAGGCTTGTTGTTGACGAAGGATGGAAGAACATCCACATTGTCTCATGATGATTTGCCTCTTTCCCAGGATTCCATGGTGTACGTGGGCACGTGGGCGGGACTGGATGGTCAGCTAGTCTGGTTTTCCTCAGAAAGAACAGGCCTGATGCCACTAATGGGAGCTCCACAAAGGAGAAAACTGCTTTTGTTACGTTATAGTTAATATTCTGTGTAATTGGATACAATTAGCTAATTATTTGGCATTGGATCCATCAGAGTTCTATTGCATAAACACTTAAATTAGTTTTGAAATTTCTTAAATGAAGTGTTTTCAGCAACGTGATTTGCTTTATTAACTATTACCAAATAAGTAGGATTCAAAGTTAAGGTTAAGAAAAGTGGGTATCACTGATAGCGTTTCATTTAGAGTCTGAACAATCAGCTTTATTAAAGAGTAAACCTGTGGTTTGATCAGATCTGACTTGCAGAGAAAAAACCCACATAGTCAGATGTTGATTATAATTTCTAAACTAATTTGTCCCCTTAATCATCTGATGATTAATGCACAACCCTTCCTGGTCATATGGACACCAGGCATGGTTGTGACTGTCCTCATGTCTGCAGTCCCCTGCGTCTCGTGCACAATCTTCATTAAAATGTGAGAGCCCCCACCACCCAACCAGTCGCTGCACATGGCTGACCCTCCTGAGCCTTGTTCTGCAGGCAGTTTCTTCCTGTAAAAAGGGAGATTTTCCTTCCCACTGTCGCCAAGTGTTTGCTCAAAGTGGATTGTTTCAATCTAGGGAATTTCTCTGAATTATTGTACTGTGTTTACCTTATAATCTAAACTCTCTTGAGGCAACGGTTGCTTTGATTTGGTGCTATATAATAAAACAGAATTCAATTTCACTGAGTTTGTGCTAAAGAAAAACTGTGGTGAAGCACAGACATGCGGCTTATTTGGGCAGTTTACTCATTATTTTTTATCAGTCACGGAGGCACCTTTACCTGTTGTTGTTGGGAGTGTTCAAGATCCATGCTTGGGTATGGTTGTGCCAGTCATATTGAAGCCAAGTGTAGTTTCAATATTAGTGAAAAACTTGGATTTGAAATCCAGAAAAAGTAAAATTATGCCCTTACTCAAGCTAAAGCAAGTTGTTTCTGACCCCTGTCAGAAAATAAACAAATTCATAAATACACCGATGTAACAGAAGCAAACATTTGTGCAATGTATGGTTTTACTCATTATATATATATAAGATAACTCAGAACGAGCAGAGCTACTGTAACAGGCTGCCACACACGGGGGGCGCCGGAAGAAATATATTTTCCAGTTTTTTTTAAAGAACTTTAAATTCTGTTTTATTGTAGTTATGACTGTCTATTTCCATGAAAACTGTGTGTGAATCATAATAAACTCATACTGTGTAAAATTCTCTGGCTTTTGGATCCAGAGTGGTGAATGTAACTGTGAGGGGAGAGTCACCCTCTGCAGGAAAAACACTGTTGAGCCAGTTTATTAAAAACAGATGTCTATGCTATTAATTATGTCTATGTGTGCTGCAGAAAAGCTTGTAAAACCCACAAGTGTATCGGAGCCTCGTGACTTGTATACGTATGTGTGTATGCGTGTGAGTATGGGTATTCCAGATTGGCCTCAACTTCCTGTTTGACCTAAGTCAACAGACTCACACATACAGCTGTAGCACTGCTGCTACGTCATGTTGCATCACTCGCCAACACTCACTGCTGCTGACCGTTCAATGTGCTTTCCTGTGCACTCAGAGTCACCTAGGAATTTTTTTGTAGTGAAATCTGAGGCTGTGTGCATTTTATCCAGTCGTGAAATCGCACTTTGGCGAAAAAAATAAATGGAGGAATGCAGAGGCCGCAGCAAATGTATGCAGGCCAAAATAGCTTAAACAGTGTACACCATGTGAGATTTTTTAAGAGCACAGACAGGTTGTCGTCTGAACTATCAGCTTATGCGGGCTGTCGTACATACATACCAGTATGATTAAAACTTCAACAGTGAGGTTTAATTGCCAGATTTGGATGATGACTATACCGTGCAGATTATGACGCGTGTGGGAATAAAACTTTAATCATTAATAATTCCTGAGACGAACACAAATTTTTAAACGCTGATGTTTTTCTTTATGTGGACATGACCTGACATACAGATGTGGACGTGTTAAATGCTTAAACGTGCTCTCAAGTCAGTATGTTTGTAGACAAATACATCAGCATTTAGAGGAAATGCAGGAACAGAATTCTAGGTTTTTTTATTTTCTTGCTGGATTTGGGTTCAGCAGACTGATGAGGTGGAGGTCCTGCTTCTGCATGAGTGTCCCGAGAAGCCAGGTCAGATGGGTTAGACCTATCATCAGAGGCTGCGGTCAATGCCTTGTGACAGCCGGGTTTCCTGAGAGATTTATAAAGAAGCATAATGAAACAAAATCCAACCGCACAGTTTCTTTTTAGCACTTCTAATTCTTAGAAGCACAAAAATATTATTGAGAAATGACATCACAACCAACAACCTAATTAATCTCACACTCCTTTTACTTCTGTTTTTGTCCTCTACCCACTCCAAAATCATACTGAGGATGTTGAACTCCCTAATGCTCCACTTTATTCCCTTTCGTAAGAGTTTTTTCTCAGCAAACGGCTGCCTGCTGATCAATGATGATGAGTCGTCTCTATTTTCTGAGGCGGCTGAGGTCCTTCGACATCTGTCTGACAATGCTCAGGATTTTCTATGAGTTGTGGCTAGTGCTATTCTCTATGTTGTTGCATGCTGTGGGAGCAGGTTCAGTGTCGCAGATACCAAAAAAAGACTCAATAAACTGATTGGCCAGTAATGTTGTGGGGATGGAGCTGGATTCCCTTAAGGTGGTGTTGAATGTTGTCCAAGATAAAGACAATGCTGAATAATACCTCCCACCCACTCCATGACATGTTGGCTAGCCACAGGAGCACATTCAGTGAGAGACTGAGATTACCTAAAAGCACCACTGAACGACCTGTGGCCATCTCCCTGTACAACTCCTCCATCTAATACACTGTAAGCCAGTGGCAGCTGGCTGCTGGTGGACTGATGTCCTGCACCAGAGACGTACCTCCATCTGGGTCGAGGTAAGAAGCCAAGATCGCCCGGCCTGTAGCGGCTCAACAAAAACAGTGGATCTGTGCCAAGGTTCAAAGTCTCTGGGCTGAGGACAAATAGAATGACAGGACTGTTGTTATTAATTAACATTTTTTTGCGTGTTATCATTTTCTACTTTACCTTAGCACTTTATCTTTCTTTTTGAGAAAAAAACATATCATGGTGTTTTTGAAACCAAAACAAAAGTCACAGCAACTAAGCAAAAGCTTATTTATAGAGGCGTACATTGTTTTTTGACTATTTTGAGGCCAACTGGGAGATAATCTGGCTCTCATGGGCCTCAGTCGGGCAAAGATCCAGTTCACTGCTATGAAGAACCTGGCAGCTTTCAGCAGATATCAGGCCACCATTTTCACGACTCATTACACTAACATACACAAACCGGGCAAAGTGTTTCCAAGCACCTGACTGTTCTGGGGCCAGATGTCTGCAGTTTCTGCCCTCGACTGCTCTTCTCTGGGGAATTATAAAGAGCGGACTCTGTTCCATGGGATGTGTTGCTTTCCAGGATCTCACGCAGCTTCTGGATCTTCCCCTGAGCCTCAGAGAATTTCTCTAAGCCTTCAGAGGACAGAGAACAAAACCATTATCTCGGTGGATGAGACAGTGTACACATTAGCGGGTAAGTCACAAAATAATATTTTGTTCTCATAATACTATAGCGTTAAAAGACAATAAGGCTAATCAGTTAATAGTGTTCACTTCACCCTAGGCCACCTAATGTGAAAGTGTTAGAATTTTGAGTTTCTTTTTGTGTTCAGAAAAAATCAAAGCACTCACCAGTAGTTGGCAAATTACATCTTAGTTAGGTGAAAGATTTATATGAAATCTTGCCTCTTGCAAAACAATAATCAATACAGTGGCTCAAAATTTCACCTAAAATGAATGAGGTTAATGTGAATAGAAGTAAACAAACTTGCAACAAATTACTGAATTTTACTCACATCTGAATCAAAAGATTAGTTCATTATCAGGCATCTGGAGAACTTCAAGACATATTGGGGAGGTCATTTAGCCATTTAAATGAGCTGTGTTGGATCAAGGACATGTCTAAAACCTGCAGGACACCGGCCCTCGAGGCCTGAAGTTCCCTGCCCCTAATCTAACGTATCACACACAGAATAACTGTTTCACGATACCATCGTTATTGTTGTGTATGTCTTATGATGCCATTGTATCATTTGTGAATGAACATTTATACCTTCATGCCAGAGTTTTACCTGTTGTGGAATATCTGGATACCTGGTTTCTTGGATGCCTGTCTCAATAGCAGAACATAGGGAGGATTTCCAGCAGTCTTCAATTAATACCAATCAAACTGGACCACCAAGCACAGAACTATCTCCCATACAAACATTATGATATGCTGTGGCTGCAATCAAATGGCTAAAGGCCATAGTTATTGTCAGGCTGTGTTCTTACCATCACAGCAGGTCTCAGAATGTTTGCTGCTTTCTCCATGTCTGCCTTGAGTTGCCTCCTCCTACTCATCTCCTCCTGGAGCTCAGCCTCCAGCTGAGCTGCCTCAGCTTTCTTTTGACTGCACACTTCAGAATCCAAGTTCAGCTGCTGTCTGAAATTATAACACAGAATAAAAGTTGACCCAATGTGGGTGTGGCTCAGTGGTAGAGCATCTGACTGTAGAGAAGCTGTCTCTGTTAAAGTCTCTATTAAAGCTTTTGTATGTTGCTACTATCAGGAAGTTAAAAAAATAATCTTGGAGAAACAGAAATAAATAAAAAGTAAAGAAGTAAAGACCTCAGGTCCTGTTTCTTGGCCAGCAAGAGGCTGTAGTTATTCAGCTGAACCTTGAGCTGCTGGCACTTCTTCGACAGGTGATCTTCTTTCTGTAAATCGGGTGATAAATATGGAGACATGAAGAATGAAAACGAGTTATCAGTTAAAATAGTGTTACAATATTTTAAGGCAATACATATCTTCCCACATGCCTCATTCTACATAATAATAAAAGCAATAAGACTTGTATGTTGCATGTAGCAATGTAACACAACTTTTTAAACAGAAGGCAGATGTACCAATTCAAGCTACCACAACCTCTAGGAATTACGCAGGCACATTTATGTCCCTTCTATGCAGACATCGTACCTCCTTGAGTTGGATGATGTCCTGGCTAGCTGCATGGCTGTCCCTCTTCATGTTTTGTACTTCAAGACAGAGTTCACTCTCTTGGCATTGCAGGATGGATTTCTCTTTCAAGAGTTTAAAGCTCTCTGCTGTAAGCTCCTTGACTTTTTTAAGCACCTCTGCGTGCTGAATCTTCTCCTCCTCAACAATTGCTGAAACTTTATTTTGATGGAGCTCCACACTTGTTTCTCACAGTCTTGAAACACTCTGTTGTTGGAGAACAGGGCTCAGTAAGTCGACGCAGCATCCAGAGGGAACAACTCCTCCTGCAGTTATAACTGTAGCTTGAATTAACTCTGCACTAGACCTTACTTTGCCCCCTGTAAATCCAATTGTTTCTGCAGTCTGGCGATGGCAGCTCCATATTCTTCCCTCGTAGTGTATAGCTGCTTCTCAATAAACTCCACGTAGGCCAGTCGCTGTGTCATCCTCTCCTCTCCTTCTGCTGCTGGTCCAGCTTCTCCTCTGAGTGGTGGAAAGGAGGTGCAAATGAAAACAGGAAGCTAGAAACATCCCAGTGTAAGCTTCACACAGTCTCAACAACGGTTTTGCAAAAATCATGGTTTGGACACTGTGGTTATGATGTTTTTGCAAATCTCTCAAAAAGGCAGACACAAAATTTAAAACAGCAATTTTAAGGTTCAACCCACAATCAAATTAATATATTTTCTCCTGGTCTGGCTATAAATGTGCACAGTGGTGCAGCAGCTAGCTCATTAGCACTGTTGCCTCTTAGTGAGAAGGTTCCTGGTTTCAAACTCCCGACTGGCTGGGCCTTGTGTGCTCGTCTTGTACCTGTGTGGGTCCAGCTAATCCACCTTCACCCCACCCCAAGATACACATCTTAGGTTAACTGCTGATTCTAAATTGGGCATGTGGCATGTGGTGGTGCGTCTCTGTGATGGACTGGCCAACTTCTGCCCCATGTTTAGACCAGCTGACTTAACCGAACACAAGATGATGAAAATAATAAATGATCTGACTCAGCGTCTATCTCACTTTGCAACGTGCTCTTTGACTTGAGTCTGTCCACTTCCTTCTGTAGCTCCTCCTTCTGCTGGTTGAGATGCAGCTTGAGCTCATCGGTTTCCTTTTGTCAGCTTGCTGCTGATGCTCCAACACCTTACTCAGCTCCGCAACCTTTTTCTCTACTGCATTTGAGGAGTCTGTCAGGTAATTACATATATCGTCCCTGTCCCTCCCATTGCTCCATACCAAATTCTGAGGTCATCTATCAGTTTCTTCAGCTCGTCACATCTGAGCTGACACCTGCAGTACAAAAAGGACATATGGTTTAGAATTTATGAATCTAATATGAGATGCTGAGCTGAAACTGCTGTAGCTGGTACATCAGAATAGTGAAAAGGAATTTTAAGATTTTATAATTGAGGAAGAATAAATTTACTTGGTCCTTACAGAGGGGTGAGGTGAGGTTGACAGGTTAAGGAGGTGAGTTGAGCCTAGAGTCTGAAAGATGGTTATCTTTTTGCCATTGTAACTTTGCTGAACAGATAACCTGGTCCAGATCATGTCATGTTCAGAGTTTTGCTTTAAAATCATCTGGAAGCGCCACGTTTTCACTAACTCTTTTATTTACAGTATAGAGATATAGAGTCTCTGCTGATGGACTGCATTTATAGCAATGTAGCTGTTAAGTTTGTTGTTGTGAAATATGTGTTGTATTGTCATTGGAATTTGCATGTAGGTCTAATCATATTCAGATGGTAATACAGAAAATTTTCTTGTTATTTTATGCATAAATGCTATGTCATTGCCACACTGAAGAAAGTTTCAAGTTCTTGACTCTGATTCTGAAAAAGGATTGTAATGTTGCTTCCTTTTTTACACCTGAGGTAAAGATCATAAGGAAACTACGGGCTCAGATTCAGACGGAGGATTCAAACCCAGGTCAGCTAAAGTTATTCTTCTATATTTTACAGTAAATAGAATTTTAGCTTTCATAATTAAATTATGGATTGAGGCTGTTTGTTGTCACTATTTAATTTAATTTAATGTCTTTCAGATTTTTTAAAATCACATGTAAGAAGAATTGCATAGCAGTTAGGCACCATGTTATTAGTAGCTGGTACTGTAGAAACCTTCAAGATAAAAACAGTCAGTCACAACATAGCTGCCATTTGATCCAAAAGCTGATGAAGCACACACAGATACATGTAACCTATGAAGCTGTTCTATAATCACGTGTTTAAAGTTTGGGACATTTTGGTGGTGGTCAGAGGGCCCGGTGGCGCCTGTGTCCGGCAGCCTCGCCTCTGTCAGTGCGCCCAGGGCAGCTGTGGCTACAATGTAGCTTGCTATCGCCAGTGTGTGAATGTGTGTGTGAATGGGTGAATGACTGAATGTAGTGTGAAGCGCTTTGGGGTCCTATGGACTAGAAAGCGCTATACAATGCAGGCCATTTACCATTTTTGTGTTATGTTAAAAGTCGTTTACCCAACAGAGGAGCAGCAACATAGAGCAATGGTTTCTTACCTTTCCAGCTCCTTATCTAAGAACTGAATTTGTGTCAAATATAAAGCCTTGTCTCTGTCAGCAGGAACTGTCTCATCTGCCATAGTTGCTGATTTTTCCGCCTTTTTTACGATAAACTTGTTGGTGCTGTGTTTTATCTCCACTCCTTTAACAGCACATTTTCAAATAGCACAGAGAAACGATGTTAGTTGTTGCCAGGATACGCTGCATTCAGGGACCGCTTGAAATATTCAGCGCTTGATGTATTTGCTCTAAATGCAAATGTATATATAGTCTGCTGGTTGTTATGGTTCATTTAAGACTTCAGTTTGTTTTTCGTTTGTTTATTTGCAAAGTTGATTTTCAGTTTACAAATTTAGTAGTCACATTAATGAGATTAATGAATTATCTGAAAGGAAATCTAGCAATTCTAGCAACAATGCCCAGTTATACAGTTATTGTGATAATAATAACTGATTTATTTTATATATTATATTTTAGTTTGTTTTTTTAGTTTAGTTTAGTCATTTATATCATTGTTTATATGTATTGGGATTATCCTGAAGCACCTAATTACTAATTGCATGGTTTTATAGACACTTATAATCACTGTAACTGATAACTGTTTACTGCCCTTAGTTTTCATGCTCCTGAGCTTCTTATCTGTCTACAGAGCCACCTTGCACATGCAGAGGAAACACAGCACCTCTCAAGCTGCAGAGCTGTACATGCTTGTCTGTTGGCTGACAGTCAGTCTGCTCTGGGTTTGATCGCATTACTCCCCATGACAAAAGCTCAGTACTGCTTTGTGAGGTAAAGAACACAAATGCATGGTCTCTGACTATCAACAGGCTTACATTTGTGGGCTTTTAAAGCGTAACTACACCTTCAAATTATGCAGTCACAGCAGATGCATCGCAACAGAGGAAGGAGTTATGAACACTTCACTGCCACTGAATATGTGTGTATATAATTTAGCCTTGACAGTTTACTGCATTGTTCACCTTTTGTACAGAGAGCAGAGGTTGATGAAAGGTTACATGAAGACTTCAGAAGTTTTTATCAGTCCGTAGATTTTTTTTCTTTCCTCTTCTTCAGTTCTGACAAAATCCCTCAACACAAAAGACGCACCATGAGAGTCGTCCAACCCACGGATCTATTGATACCTGCAAATAGAGGTGCTCCCTGAACATGTGGCTGCCAAACCAAAATGTTTCTCTAATTACTCTGTTTGGTCTCAAACAGACACACAAAGTTCACAAAATCAAGTTGATCTCAATGACTCATTTACTTTGTTCTTTTTTTCATATCACTTGTTTGAATTTGTGACTTTGATTCAGTTTAATTTCTTTCATTTCTTGGTTTCAGGTTATGTTTCCAGTGTAGTTTTTATTGTTTGAAAATATTTAGTCTTCATTTAGTTTTTTGAAGTTGACTCGCAAGCTTGTAGACATCCGAAGTCAAAATTAACAAATACTAAAACTTAGGGTATTTGATTTTTTGGGTGATATGATTTTGTTTTAGTTAGGTTTACAAAATTATTTCAGTTGGTAAACTATGATAACCTTGATCCTTGGTCTTTTGCAGGAAACAGTAGGCGTACATTTTAAAAAGTGAATGTGATGTTTACAAGTTTCTATGTAACAAAGCGTGAAGTCTCATAAAAATCCTAATATGAAGACTACTACTTACTACTTAATTAAATAACAGACCTCAGTAGCTATGTTACAATATGACAACCACAGCTGGGCAAACTAATTATATCTAATTATATTATTTAGAACTAATTATGTGTTTTCAGTTTCTGAAGATTGAGCACGATCTTTCTTTTGGCACAAAGTAAAAATATCAATTCCAATATTCAGTCAGACCTTATAAAAGTAAAATGTTTGGTTAGCTGCGTGTGACTCGAACAGAGTTCAAACCCAGCATACACCTGTGTTTGCATACCTTCAGGTACAGTCAATCATAATCATTGCTGAGGTTTCTCCTATGCACATTGTCATAACCTGTGAAGTGTCCTGCACGCTACCTCCACCACCCACAGATATTCAGCCCGAGGCCGGCATACTGTAACTCAGCTGTCTCTGTGTTATTGTCTGTTTTTCTCTGTTGCATCGGCCCCTGGGAGGACGATGCTCTCAAAATAAAATAATGTGCTCTTTGCACGAAAAGTGAGATGGATATGTTTCCTCACTGGGAAAGGATTAGATGGTGGAAGACATGAGCAGAGAGACAAAACAGCTTGTGGTGGAAAGTGAGGGTGTGGAGGTTAAGACATTCAGCTCTCACGACACGAGTCGTGAGTTCATTTTCTAAAAATATATTTTCCTTTTGTGAAAAACTACAACTCTAGCACTAAGATATTTCATAGAAACTTTAGACAAATTAAACTCTCAGAAAAGGTTCATTCTTTTTTTTTCCAATGAATTATAAGTTATCAATTATTCCAGCAAGATGCAAAAAACTTTTTCAGTTCTTCCTCTTGGCAAATAATCACTGATTATTTGCATATTAAATTTAATGTGAGTCGAGCAAACACGCACGTACAGAAAACATACAAAATCTTCATTATCCTTGCATGTAATGCCTTGTCATATCTCACAATATTAAAACCTTTAGCCAGGACTGTCTGCAGTGACAGTTATGTCTCCATGTTTATGCAAAGATTTTTGTTTTCTGGTATTTGCTGGTCCCCAACCATCTTTGGCTACAACAGCCAGCTTTATACCTCTCTCCTTGTCCTTTGATTACCAATATTTTAATTCTTGACTACTCCTGAACTTTGCCACAGTAAGAGCACCTAAACCTTAACCCTGTCCTATTAACATTAGATTTTGCGTCCTAGTTGCAGCAACAACAGATAAAAAGAATGAGAGACGAGAACGTGATCTGCTGCAGGCCTCGGGCTGCTGAGCACGGGAGAGGCACACATCGAAATAGCTGCTTAAACAATGTTTTTACCAATCTGTGTGTGAATATGCTACCTGTTTGTTTCCCAGTTGTCATGGCAGCCGGTAATTAAACCTAAAAGCACACCAAGTGTTGCTGAACACAGCAATCAGCTTCTGCTCCTCCTCCAGTTAGTCTCATATTTTGTGTTGACTGGCTGACAATATCACAAAGAGATTTAAAGACATGAAGCGCATGAGACTGGCTCATTTGCTTGCTGTAGTAACACAGTTTTACCTGGCAACAGATGGAAAGTCAGCACCATCAAACATTTACGTTTTCAGTTTAATTTTCCTTTAGTCAGTAAATCCAATCACACTGCTCTAAAGCATGAGGCCATGGGTATCTAACTCTCTAAAGTAGAATTTATTAAATTACTTTAAACGAAAAAACCTTTAGGAATTGTTCTAGAGGATTGTGGTGGATGTTTGCAAATTTAAAGAGTGGCAGGTGGTGGCGGTGGTGGAGGTGGAGCATTCATCAGTTGTCATAACACCATAAAGTCAAATACGGACAGGCTGTTCAATTGAAACCCAGTGTGCTCGCTGATAAATTCCACTTGGTGCTGCGATTATTATTATTAGCCTTCAAATTACAGGTTGTGCTTTTGGAACAAATATAAACGGATACCTTTTAACTGCCATGACAAAGAAGAACAAAACCTTTAGAAACCACTTACCAACTCAAATTACACCTGACCTTTACCATTTACAACATCCTGAATGCCACTGATGTTGTTAGGATACTAGAATGCTGCTCGCTTATCTCAGCTCAGAAACATTTAGATGTTCCCACAATAATTACAATATTTTCAAGTTATTCACTGCAGGAAAATGTTGTAAATAGAGGTGCACTCTGTAAAGTACATGTAAAGTAGGCCCTTGCATGAATGTAATGCAGTTGCATCTCTCACATGCCCTGCTTATAAAAAGGATGCAATGTTTACAGATGTTGCCTAATCACACCACAGTAATAATGTTGCAGTTATCTTTGTGAGGACCAGTTGGGTTCAGACCACGGCCATCAAACAGACCCCGGGACCAAAGTTGACCTGGCAAAGACTCCAATCTGGCCCACTCACATTTCCAGCTTTGGAAATGTAAAGGAGTAAAGGTATAAATCTTGGAATTTTAACTGTATTTGCATATGATTTATAAAGTTTCCTACCGAAAAAGACCTCCTTCGTGGCCATGCATATCACACCAACGTAATTAAGTAGCAGATAAACAACTGGGCAATGAGAAACAGAACTTTTAAATTGAATTTACACATTTATCATGCAGAAACACTGAGGTGTACCATACTGTAAGATATCTCAGGGACTAAATGCATAGTTAAACTTCTTTACATTTACAGAAAGGAGAGTTTCACTGGTCCAGCCCCCTTAAGATCAAAGTAGGCTGTGTGTTCTTTTTAATTATTATTTTTTGGATGCCTCTCTTTGTTTTACATGGCTTCAGTGGTCTGAGGGATAAAACTTAGCTCAAATTGGTTAGGTAAATTGGTTAGGTAAATTGGTTAGGCTGCGAGTTTGGCACTAAATTGAGAGGGTTTCATTTAGAGGAGGTAGAAATGTTCTGATATTCAAACCATAATCTTGTTGGATGAAGTTATTATCCACCTACATTTTAAACCAATTATAAGAAGAGTTGGAACGAGGCCCATTTCACAATTTAGATGAATTGAAACTGGAATTTCCCTCTTTCGAAACAAAAGCTAAATAATGAAGCTGAATTCTTTGGGCAGGGTGTTAGCTCCTGTGATTACTGCTCAGGGAATATTTGTCTGTAGCATTAGGCTGTAATAACTTTGATTTTCAAGCGCTAACCTGCCTTAACCTTTTGTTTCCTGCAGCCCAAAGGCCGAGCCTTTTCCTCTCAGGTATGAACCAGGAGATAGGTATTCCGTCTCCATGCCAGTACAAACGATGTGTAGCTGAGTCTGAAGCATCAAACAGCATTAGGGCTGCTGACAAACATGGAGGATTAAAATAAGAATGAAGGGGAGGAAGTATTGGTTGTCTGTGCCAATCGCATCCCCTCTGATACACAAAGACTTTCTGGTAATCCCACCGCACCAGGATCCCTTTTCCTAGGTAAACCACCTGAATGGAGTGGAATCTTTGGAATGCGTGCCTGTGTGTTCCTGCGCTGAAGAATATGCTATTAGGCAACTGAGTTTTAGTATTCACTAGTAAGCGTGCTTTATCATAAAAATGATGTATTTGTGGTAAAGGATGTGAGGCATTAAATCTCCTCCGGTGGGTTTAGCCTTGAGGGCAAGAGCATTTGAGCGTACGATGGGGGCATCTCCTACACGTCATCCTTCTTTTGCATTTTAGTGTTACAAAGTTAGATGGAAAAACGAACGCAGTTTTTACCAGAACTTGTTTGGTTTCTTTTAAGCAGAAAGCTCCTTGAATCACGACACTTTCAGTAATTTGAAAAAACAAAACAAACAAACCCGACAAACAACGAATGAATAAATTTATGCCTTGTTAGATACTGGGTTATGATAAAGATCCCATTTTCTAAATTGTTTAATCCTGCTGTGTGTCACAATTCTATTACTTTTAAATCAAAATTATTGTGGCTCTGTCCCTTTAGTTTATTTCTTTAAACTTCAAATACAAATAAATCACATTTTGCCCTTTTTCAGACAACAAAAAAGCCATGATATAACATAAGAAACAGAACATGAATACAGAACTATAGAAAGTCCAATTTAATGTGATTTTATATTATTGTAGATTCAGACCCAGGTCTTCATATGTCAGTGTTGACATTGTGGAGGACTATAAATACCTTGGAGTACACATTGACAATAAACTGGACTGGGCTAAAAACACCACAGCACTTTACAGGAAGGGCCAGAGTCGTCTCTATTTTTGAGGCGACTGAGGTCCTTCAACATCTGCCAGAAAATGCTGAGGATTTTCTATGAGTCTGTGGTGGCCAGTGCGATCCTCTATGCTGTTGCATGCTGGGGGAGCAGGCTGAGGGTCGCAGATGCCAACAGACTTAATAAACTGATCCGTAAGGCCAGCAATGTTGTGGGGATGGAGCTGGACTCCCTCAAGGTGGTGTCGGAGAGGCGGATGCTGTCCAAGATAAAGACAATGTTGGATAACACCTCCCACCCACTCCATGACATGTTGGTCAGTCACAGGAGCTCGTTCAGTGAGAGACTGAGATTACCGAAAAGCACCACTGAACGACACAGGAAATCATTCCTGCCTGTGGCCATCTCCCTGTACAACGCATCCACTTAACACACTGTTTGCTGCTACAACTACACATGTTTCTTTTCCAAATATTTATTTATAAGTGACTTATGTATGTATGTATGTATATATATGTATATATTGTACTATTCTTAGTTAGTGTATTGTCTGTCTTGTCTTAATGTTGGTTTAAAATGGAGCACTGTAACAAAAAATAATTTCCCCAGGGATCAATAAAGTATTCTGATTCTGATTCTGATTCTGATTCTGATTCTGATATAGTTTGTACAGTTCATACAGTCTGTAGTTTTCCGTGCCATTTATAATATTGGTTTCTGCTTTTCTCTTTGTTTTATACCCACATGTAATTTTCCAAAACATGTAACTAAGGAGTCTTTGCAATTAACATTAATTTACCATTACCATTACCACCACCCATTTACCGTTTCATTTTAAGACAGAAGGATGAGCATGGTGTACCAGACTCGGCAAAGCCATGCCAGTACCTGTCCTACAGAGTCTGAATCATTTCCTTTCATTTGCACAGTGCTGAGTAAGGTTTCTCTAAAAGTTTATATCTGAACTAGGAGAACGCGATGATTAACATTCACGTTGAAATGTGTTACATCTCTAAGGAAAGTGTTTTCAAGAGAAAGAGAACAAGCTGCCTATAATAATATATCACAACCTCAAGTTATTCATGTCCAGCTATTAACAAATCAATGCCTATTATCAATTATGTTTCAACATCTAGCATGCTAGCCTCATTGGATTTTTTCTGTACAAAGTACACTTTAAAAAAAAACCTAAGAAAATAAAATGTATATACACAAAGTGTAGTAGGCTACTAGTCGCTTAAAAGTAAATACTGTCCAGAGTTGACCTGCTTTGGTGGAGGTTTGTGTTTTCAGAGTGCTTCTTGTTTTAGGAAAACACTAAATTTGCCACAGTAGTGTGTGTTCACACAACTGTGTGACGTGTGAACCATTCACCGTAGAATGTTTTACCTGCTATATTATGTGAACAAAAGAGTGACGTTAATGCTTCCAAAGCACAACGCGTGCACATGAGCTTTGTCTTACGCTACGTTCCTGCGCGCACTAAACAATGCTGATGACAAAAGCTGTTACGTTTTATTTTTTTATCTACCTATACAGGTGCTGGTTTTATTACAGTGTTTATTGTAAAATAATATTTATAAATGTATTTTTATATTATTTTACCCTAATGTTAACAGTCATTGAACAGTTGTGGTCTGTGGGATCAGCTGAGTGTGTTAACATCTTACATCTTTGTTGCTTTTATTGTCAGTCTAAAATTGATGCAACTAACTGCAACCACAGCAAAAGGATTTCAACAGTATTTTTCTTCTTTTGTCTTTTATATCCTTTTCACTTTCTTTGTGGATCAAACATGAGCTTTGGGTGGGGACAGAAAGATTACATGAGTCTTAATATAAATAGGCTAAAGGACAATACTTGAGTGAAATATTTGTTCCCTTTGGTCAGGGCTTGAACCACTGACACTCCCTAAGTGAATCACAGCTTACGCTCACGTGCTCCTCGGATTTACCCTTTTTCCAAGCTTGGAAAATATTTCTTCTGATTGCATAGCGTGTTCTCGAGATTTTAAAACTGGAAAGTTGAAACAACGGATGCTACTGAGGATGCGTTGACCACACATTGATTTTGACTTGACATACTAAACCCAAACTAGATATAATTAACATACTAAATAAACAGATTCAAACTCCAATAAATGCTCCAAAATATGAGATTGATTATGTGTCATGGTTTGAGTAATTTTAAGAATTTATGATATAAAATGTTCATTTAAAATTGTGATTAGTTCAAAATGAGCGATTAGTTCAAAACCATAACAGTAACATCAAAACATGTTTTTGTTTAACTACAGCTTATCAAAAGAACCCGACAGAAGACCAGCACATCTAATACATGTCAACTGCAAATACAAAGTCATCACTTAAGAGCCTTTGCGAATGTGTTTGATTCATCATAATACAGAACACAGTAATCAATACAATCTTGACTGGAGAAGCAGATAAATAAGAACATATGGATTATGAAATGTTTGAAGGATTTGAGGCTCTGTGAGGCAACTTGAGATTTAACTGTTTGCGAGTTTTAACAGCACACAAAGAAGCTGTAAATGAAGAGAAAAGCAAAAAGTCTGTCTTTCTTACAACAGCCTTTCAAGTGCATGCGACTTATAATGTCAAAATTAGTGGAATCACTGCATGACAGTCGGTGTCCACTCACTGCCTGTTGCATGCAGCACTTTGGGATAAATGACTCTGCAGCTTTACTGTAATGCATTTGATGATATATTGTGTGTCGCGTGCAAAAATACAGACAAGAAGCTAATCAAAGCACCCTGAATACATTCCAGAAATTTCAGCAAATTTCTGTGGTCAAAGCCTGAGGAGAGAGGGAAGACACAAGTTCAGCCCACACGCAAGGAGAGGTGAGGAAACCTGTAGCTTTACTCTTTGAGCTCTAGAATTGTGTGCTTGTCTACTGTGCATCTTTTTCTGTGGCATTCACCTTTATTGCAGAGGCTGACCATAAAACATGACTTGAATGTACTTTTATTTGATAAAAATCAGTTAGTTGGAGCTCCAGAAGATGTTTTGCTCGTGCTGCCGAAGGAACATATCCGCCAGTGATGATATGTAAAAACCAAAGATAAAAATCCTTCTGAAAAATAAAGTTCCTTCTAAGGAATTGTGGCGTTATACGTGGACCTGTTGAGTCCGTGAGTAAAAATGTTCCGTGTGTAAGGCCCCAGTCAAATGTATTATCAACAAGACACTGTTAGACACATTTCATTAAACTTCATGGCAGAATGGTGATGATGGAGAGTATTTAACTGAGCCAGCAATCCTCAACTTTGCCTTCTGACTTGAGGTGGTAATGCAGCTGCACCATGGATTTTCCCTACAGCAGGGATTTGTAGGGAGGAGGAGGCAGAAAAGCTTCCTTGGGGGGAAAGGAGTTTGCGTGCATCCAAAAATAATCTTAACTCCTAACAACAATAATTCCCGAGGTGGGTGGCGTCCAACTGGCCAAAGGCAGACTGACAACACCTACTCTGCACATATTTAAAGAGTGTGTGCTTCAAACTCAGACCTAGAACCAGACTGGTGATGAAGATAGATAGGGCAAAACAGATGCATATGCTGCGTGCAAAAACTATCTGAAGTCTGACAAAGAGAAGCAGGAGCTGTTTATAATAGAGACTTCCTGATAATAATATAAAGGTATTAAGATCAGAATACCAAAGCACAGAGAAGCTGAAACATAAGACTAGCAGGACAAAGAAGAAGCTTAAGGGTCGACAATGCCTTTCTCTTCCTGCTGCAAACCTGTGCCTGTTGCCCTGGGGCCTCTGGAAGAATCCAGTACCCTGACAACATCCTACTCTTCTTCTCCACCTCCCTCTCCAACTCGGTTTCGCCGTCCCCGTCGGGTCCTGTATCCAGCCTTTCAGAGCAGGAGGCCCCCACTCAGGGAAGCTCCTGACAAGGCCTGTCGCTGTCTTCTGTTCCTGTCTGTGCTCGTCTTCCTGCAGATCTACACAGAGGAGCCACACACCTGCACAGGTTAGTTTGAGTACACTGACACGCACTGATAAATGAATCATTACATTAATGTCTTTATCTTTCAGAAGTCACTACAAAGTCTCCTTTATGACTGAATTTGATGCAGATCAGTAAAAATTAGTGTAGAGCACTTACTCGTGTCTGGGCGAAGGGTCGTTATGGGTTATGGCTAAATGGCTATTTTATACAAGATGTCCATACATGTTTTAACCACAAATAAGGGGAATTTAAATAGGCATTTATAGAAAGTGTTGAACTTTAGTTGAACTTTGTTCTTTGAATTTGAATTTAAAATTGTCATTCTGTGGATTCACAAGATATTGGCAAATACACTGTTCATTTTTTGATCAATAATTAAGTGTTAACATACAATACTCTCTTTATATGAAATAAAAACTTATTTTACAGTAATTGAGAGCCAATGCCCAGATCCAGCAGTGTGTCAACTTGAGGCTGGTGATGGGAGCCTAGGCACATCCCAAGGATGGACAGGGGAGGAGCCCTGGAGGATTCAAACAGTGGATCGAGGATCAGAGACACAGGTGGAGTGTGTGGTGGCATGATGGAGGACAAAGTCACTAAATGCGAACAGAGTGAATGAGAAAAGGGTAAAAGAGAGGAATAGCCACACAGACAAGGTTAAGTTCGAATACTGTGTGGAGATGGTTTCCTCTTGAAAACATTTCTACATGCTAGTTTGATTGGGGATGGATAGTGGTGGTTTCCAAAGAATGTGCTCCACCTGTTCTGTCACCGCCACTGAGATGACACTCCAGCTCGACAACAGCAGTTATGTGGGACAGTGAAACGTGGATGAGTACAGTCAAAACTGATAAGAAGGGTAATATTTTCCACTGAAGATGTGTCAGGCAGATCTCAAAGTTAAACTGGTGTGACCACATTACAAACAAGGAAATGTGGAGAAGGACGAAAGCATGAAACAGATGTCACCAGAAGAGAAACAGAAATGAGAAAGGCCTAAGCTTACATGGTGTACAATGTGGCACAAAGACTTGAAGCAAATCAGTAGTGCCCGGCAAAGACACAGGATGACCTATTGTAAATAATAATGTTCAGTCAAAGGCTTACATTTTAACATTTCAAATAATTGTAACTATTTTGTGAATATTTCTGTCTGAGTGTGTAACCCTGTGGTAAAAAGTACGTATTTATTCAGAGAGTGTATTTTTATATAGCAGCACCATCCGTAATTTGTTTGCTACACTCATTTTAACACGCATCATCTGCTTTTTTAAAATAAAGAATAAATTGTTTATGCAAATGCCTCCATAAATACGACCATGCCTTACAGTACCTTTTCCGTTAGTGTTATGCTTAAAAGATAATGTATTTTTTACTCAATGCATGTGACTAAAAGTATGTGAGTGCTTGTTTCACCACTGGTGTGCAGTAAAAACTCTTTGTATGATGACATGTTTCTGGTTTGACCTGTTCTCTGCTCCGAAACTGATCATTGTTGCAAGAGGCATTTTCAAACCAATCTTCACTCTAACTGCTATGTGAGGTAAACTGAGCAATGCCTGTGTGGGTGTTTACTGTGAGCACAGGGGTCTTTGAGTCACTGACTCATGGGTAATCCCTCAATCAGCCCACGCAGGCTGCTATAACAAACACACACAAGTCTGAGACTGTCAGGTGGAATACGCGACTGGCTGGTATCACTGTGAGAAAGTAGATGTGTTGGCACATGCCCGGTATGTCTACTTGTGTTGAGTTGTAACACCAGCTGATTTCTCTGATACAGTGTTGATGTCGTTATATATAATTTATATTCTGCATTAACTTGGATTACCTTTTGAACTTTAGACTGGAAGATTATGCTACAAAAACAAAAACTGACCAGTGGCACAGAGAAAACTGCTAAAATTAAATAAAATAAAGAGCGTAAATGCAAATATTTGTACAAAGCTTTGTGCAAAAAGCAGTTTTAAAATCGTAATTGGTGTGAATGTGTGTGTGAATGGGTGGATGACTGAATGTAGTGTAAAGCTCTTTGGGGTCCACAGGGACTAAGTAAAGCGCTATACAAATACAGACCATTTACCATTTAATTAAAGCAAATGTGTTATGTTTAATCATTTAGCTTAAAAAAGGTAATGAATTGTAATTTCATGATATTAAACTTCTTTCTAAGAGGAGATTCTATGTGACTGGGGAAATTAATGATAACTTAACAGCACAAATAACACGAAAACCATCATAAACCGTCACATTCAGTCTAGACATTCAAAACATTAGTAGTCAGAAGAAACGGCCTCAAGAAACGACAGAAAGAAGACATCTGCCTCAAGAAGATGATGTCAGTATGGACTCGTAATATTTAGCATTTGTGTCTTGCTGTTTTACATGTCTCTGCATATGATCTCATAAAATTAGTGAGTGCATGAGCTCATCGTGTCATTCAGCAATATGAGCATGTGCATCACCTCACGTCAGCAGGTCAACACACTGTCGGTTTGGAGTAGCAGATCGTGGAGCATGTATACCAGTGCACAAATGCATTTATAACCCCTGCAGCTAATAATCGCATCAAGTCTGTGCTGCAGGTCTACCCCAGTCTGCCAGCATTTACCACAATATACCATAAATCATGTAAACAAGCCGAGCTGAGTGAGTTAGTGTGCCTGTGTGACTGCTGCAGAAGTGTTTTGTTGCTGATTTTATTTGGCACCTTTAACAGGAACAAAATGTAAGATATCCAAACAGCCCTTGAGGAAATACAGACACATTGAGTCCAATCGCTTTGTCAAGTGTAAAAGAAGGTCACCTGTTGAAATACCTTTTTCACGTTATAGTGTTCAAGTGACTGAGATTCCCATATTAAGGTCATCCCCTGTCAGTGATGTGAAGAGTAAGACAAAAACTGTCTGAAACCAGGCATGTAATCTGAAGCATGAGCTTTTGGCTCGTACAGAGTATTTGTATATACACTGACCTTGTTGTGTGAAACTTCAGGTTGAGTATGAACACCTGCCATTGTAACGGTATATAGATGAAAGACATGGAAAAGCAGAGCAGGTCTAGTGCTCTGTGTGAAATTGTAAAAGTACAATTTGCTTTGTTTAGATAAGATCGGGCATACATATAATAAATTCACAAGCATCATAAACTATCATAGAATACACTTACGTAGTGTGTTTGTGTTTGATGTTTACAGAGAGGACAAAAAATCTTTCACAAATTGTACACTCAAGCTTATTGATGAGGTCATGCGACGTAATCTCAAAGAAGAAACAAAGAGGAACATGGCAAGCTGTTAGTAACTATCAATAGACTCATTAAACATTGACATGTGACATTTTTGTCACAGGTGTTTTAAAAGCACACTAACTTATGACCTCAATGGAGCTGTAAAACCTCACTCAGCTGGCATGACTGAGCTAAACAGAGCCATATTTAGACAGACAAGCACACAGAGAGATGTGGCTAAAGGCTGAGGTGATAGATTCAGCTATAGCACTGTGAGTGACTACTGAGGTGATTAAAAGTTAAAGCCTTTTAAAAAAGAAGAAGAAGAAGACATGGCGTCACCTCAGAGCAGGATGACAGTTTGATGAGCTGGAATGTCGGTTTCTGTCAGGGATTCCAAGAATGCGTGTGTGTGTGTGTGTGTGTGTGTGTGTGTGTGTGTGTGTGTGTGTGTGTGTGGTGTGTGTGTGTGTGTGTGTGTGTGTTTGTTTCCTTCCGGCTGTCGCCAAAGTGCTTGCACATAGGGGGTCATATGATTGTTGGGTTTTTCTCTGTATCTATTATTGTACGATCTACTGTACAATATAAAGCGCCTTGAGGCGACTGCTGTTGTGATTTGGTGCTATATAAATAAAACTGAATGGAATGAATTGAATTGAAGTGTGTGTGTGTGTGTGTTTGTTGACTGTTGTGTATATATGATTCACAGATGTCTTAAGAGCAATAAAATATTTACTGTAGGTGTGTACGTGTGTGCAGGTGAGCGCACAGGTGTATGACTGTGTCTTTGTTCATTTGGTTCCCACAGTGTCACATTAAGGCACAGATGACATACACTTAGTAAGTTGGTCAGACTCCGGTAAAGGAAACTGTTGTAACATTGCAATTCTCCTTTGCCCTATTTACCCATTTGATCAAAAAAACAAAAACAAATTAAAATCTGTGATAATTACAGTGAGTTCACACAGTGCCCTATTTATTCAGTAAGGTTGCAAAATTTGGGAGCATCTTATCTCTATGCTGAGCCTGGTTTCTGGTTTTGGTGTTTTAAAATTTGCATATTTTTTGTGGAAATCCCCAAGAGAGCATCCTGAAGGGCATTCCTCTGATCCAGTCTAGATAAAATAACCATGCAGGCCCGGAGGAAGGGAATGTCCATTCATCTGCTCATATATCCATCTTTTTCCAAGATACACCCTGGACAGGTCATCAGTCGATCATAGGGCTAACACAGAGACACAGATAACCACCCACATTCACATTTACACCAGGGAATTTTCTCAGACTAAAGATGGAATGAAATGCAAGGTTGGATCAACTCATCACAGATGGCTCCAGGAAAAATGGAATATGACACACACATACACATTAGGGAGGCAATAGCTAATATGCAGAAGTCATCCACTGGAACATCTTTTGTGGACAGGATATACATTATGTGAAGTGGAGGTGACTCCAGTGTACAGAGTCTGATCCAACCCAGCAAAGTAGGGTGACCACATGCCCCACTTCATGTGGGACACATCATTTTATTGGATCTAGTTTACCAAAGTTTGCAGACGTTGCTTAAAAAGTCCAATGACACTCATAAAACAGTTTAACATGAAATGCAACAGAAAACAAAAATGCACACGTGTGCAAAGATTATTGTACAAGACCATTTGCACTGGGCCCATGGCAGTTCACCGTGACACAAGAAAGTGTTGTCAACTTTTAATCTCTGTGACCGACAGAAACTTGACACGGCTTGGAAATTTGCAAGCTCGTCAACTAAAAATAGGCTGTGTGAAGATTTTGCTGTCAATCAGCCAACAATGACACTGCTCACATTGTCTGGCAGACAACCTTAACCGAGAGAAGGAAACACCCCTATTGTACGAGGAATATAAACACAGAAAGGTTATCAGATCAGAACAGGAAGCTTTTTTAGACACTAGAGATATAATAAATGCAGTAGGTAACTCTTCTCTGTAAAAGCTGGACTCTATTTCCGATTTGTTGACTTTAAACCTTGATTTGGCTTTAGTTTACTGAACTTTTCTCATTGTGTGGTTCTCAATTAACATATCTGACATTTGTTGTGAGTGGAGAAAATCTCCATTAAGACCACAAGCATTTGTGTACCCGGCTGTACACATGTTTATTTGTACTATAAAGTAGACAAGGAGCATTTTAACATGAGATTATGTAGCGACTGACTCACCTCAGGAGCCTTCTTCAAATGGCCATTAGATAAGCCACATTTTATTTTATTTTTCGTGTTTTTCAGCTCTGGGGTTTTCCACATGTTAATGCCTGTGTCCCTGTGCGTGTATTAATGCCCAGAACTAATAGAAGCACACAGTAATTCTATTAAGGATGCATGCAAAACATATTTTCCTCTTCCTGGTTTTCATTCTGGGTTTTTTTTGCACGTTTGTGTATGAATGACTCTTTTCAGAAATAATCATGATTATCTCATAAACTCTCATGTTTTTCCTGTTGGGGAAATCCTTTGACGAAAGCTATCTGCAACCATCCTATTAACCATGTTGATAGTAAGTAAAGAGTAAGATGGAAATCATAAGTAAGCAGATTTGAGTTTGTCAGAAAGCCAAGAAGAGCTGCAGGATTCTACTAAAAGGTCTTGTAATATCATGAGGGGCTGTAATCAACCTAACAATACAAATGGGTAATTGGTATTTTAACATAACGAAATGAAATTTTCTTCTCATATTCCCTCATTCAGCCGGTCATTCAAATTTAGTATTTCTGTATAATAGGAAATTACATCAGCATGACACACTGTTAGCCAAATAATAAATAAATAAACAGGTTGCCAAAGCATGTCCCAACTAGTCAGACTCAGAACAGTCTTCTTTAAAGACAGACTCGAGTCCCGTTTTCTGCTTTACTGTAGAGATGTGTCTGTGGTGTACTATTTCTCTTTTGCCTACCTAGCTGATTGGCCAAGTTGTTCAGATGCACATCACCTTCACATATCTGAGGTTTGCCTTTGGAACATTTTGTCTATGCCAGCTCCATAGAGGAGATGCTTGGGAGTACAGCCATCATCCATTGTCAGTACATGCCTGAGCCAGCA